TATGGATACAAACGCTGCGTCAGCGAGTGGTTGGTGTGCACTATAAAGTATTAAGGTTGCCGTGCTTTCCCCATGACCTGGTTCCAATAGCTCCACATTTTGTTAGTGACTTTTGGTTTTAAAAACAAAACAAAAAAGACTTTTAGAAATAATGCTACAGTCAACAATTTAAAGAAATATTATACATGTTGATAAACATGAATCATTTCAGTGACAGGCCTGGGCCTGCTAGTTAAGTATAACATGGCGTGCTTAAATAGCTGAGATGACACGTGACACGTGTTCTATATGAACACACCATTGAGAATTCTGGGATGTGCTAACTGCACGTGCTAATGACATCTAATGACATCTCATGACAGACGGTGGGTCACCGGACGAATCTCGGTTATGAGTAAGTTCGTCTTCAGACACGTTTGGGTTTTCTCCTCTACTTAAAGACAGAACAAGCAGAAATGGTTTAACTCGTGTTTTATAGTTCAAGTTTTTCATCCGACATATTAGCATTCTATTATCTAATATGGCACATCTCCGACATATTAGCATTCTATTATCTTATATGGCACATCTCCGACATATTAGCAATCTATTATCTTATATGGCACATCTACGACATATTAGCATTCTATTATCTTATATGGCACATCTCCAAAATATTAGCAATCTATTATCTTATATGGCACATGTCTGACATATTAGCAATATATTATCTTATATGGCACATCTCGGACATATTAGCATTCTATTATCTTATGTGGCACATCTCCGACATATTAGCACTCAGTTATCTTATATGGCACATCTACGACATATTAGCATTCTATTATCTTATATGGCACATCTCCGAAATATTAGCATTGTATTATCGTATGTGGCACATCTCGGACATATTAGCATTATATTATCTTATGTGGCACATCTCGGACATATTAGCATACCATTATCTTATATGGCAAATCTCCGGCATATTAGCATACTATTATCTTATGTGGCACATCTCCGACATATTAGCATGCTATTATCTTATATGGAACATCTCCGGCATATTAACATTCTTTTATCTTATATGGCACATTTATGACATATTAGCATTCTATTATCTTATGTGGCACATCTACGACATATTAGCATTCTTTTATCTTATATGGCACATCTCCGACATATTAGCTTTCTATCGCCAGCATCACACGTGACCGTTAATCTGAATACAAGGATAAAAACGTGAGTGTCTCCAGCTCAAGACTTCCCGTATGTCGGTATGAGAGTGTCTCCAGCTCAAGACTTCCCGTATGTCGGTATGAGAGTGTCTCCAGCTCAAGACTTCCCGTATGTCGGTATGAGGGCACCTTCAGGGAGTCCGACACAACACAATCTGTTATAACACAAATTTAGTTTTTGCTCGCCAGACACTGATGCGTAGCTTCCCATCTGCTACAGTTACTTTACACAACAGATATCCAAGTAACGTAAATTAGTAGAAACCCAATTAGTGCTCTCCCCCCCCCCCACAATGGAGGCCTCCGCAAACATTTATACGGCCCTGATCTATATCAATATTCTGATGTTCCACAAACATTTATCATCACATGATATTAAAAAGTAAATATTGCGCACCAAACACACTTGCGATATTTTTAAGAAGCTCATTTAGCGCAGTTATCGGGAATTTTATTAAGCGCACTATGTTCTTCGTCCGTCGAGGATTGACGCTGACCATCGAGTCGTCCGGTGACTGATGACTTGCTCTGGTGACATTTGTTTAAAGTGAGGAAGAGTCGCGCGGCGTCAACCTCACTCTCTCGTTCGGGTCCACCATATCCAGTGTCAAGACGACCAGGGATGGGTACGGTTGCAAGAGTTGTCATTGTATGCGCCTTACGGGACTCCAACTCCGGGTTTGAAATCAGAGTTTCCTTCTCTTAGATGAGTTGCCGACCAAGGTTAACGAGTCTCACCCACCCGGGGTGATGTTTTTGCGTGACCGCGCCCCCTTTGGCTGGACTTGAGGTTTGCTCAGTTTAGACCACTATAGAACTCACTAATGCTCCATAATTAATTCCATATTTAAAGACTTTATATTGATTGATACAACAAAATCAAGCAAAAATAACAAAACTACTATTTCATAATACAAAATTATAACACCCACAACGGTTAAACAACTATAAACGCTGTTAAACTTCGATAACATACACAACTACATACACATCGATAACATACACAACTACATACACATCGATAACATACACAACTACATACACATCGATAACATACACAACTACATACACATCGATAACATACACAACTACATACACATCGATAACATACACAACTACAACGTACGATATTTTGAAGCGTGTTTTTTTGTTGTTTTTTTGTGGTCATGTTTGTTACATTGCTGTCTGGAATAAAATGTCCTTGTGGGAGTCGTCCACTGAGTGGCCAGTTTGAGACACGTCATCTTAGCCATGCCACAAATTCCCGAATGAGTTGAACGATGTTTTGACTATTGCACATGTGTTGATAGAAGGTTGATGGTGTTAACTATTTAATTTTCTGTCTCATACGTGTGTGCGTGTGTACAGGCAGTGAGGGTGTGTGTGGACGAACAATTTGGCGCGTGTCGACAGCCAGTTGGGGGGGGGGGACAGTGGGGTGCAATCATTAAGGTCAAATATGTGTAAATTCAAAAGTCTGATTAGGTAGCGGACAAGTTGACAGAAAGTTCCTAAATCCAATTGTCATAATTGATCGTCTTTTACTAGCCAAGAAATTCAGCTGTTTATTTACTTGCATCCTGAAATAAATTACAAGGTAATTTGTGTCAGATCCCCCCTCCCCCCAAAATACAAACTGACAGCCCCCAACCACCCCCACAAAAAATATTTAAAAATAAAAAATAATGCAATGTGTTTCGTGCTTGGTCATAGAATGTGATAGTGATGTGTAGAGTGTAGTGTTACACTTTATGATAGGGCTGAGTGACACAAGTGAAGTATCGTCCTTTGGGTCAGGTGTTGCAAGTGAAGCCTTGAGACATTCTGTTTGATGTAGTACAATTAAACAAGCAAATTATTTTTTTTTAAAATAATACTAATCGAAGACTGCATGTCAATTGTATTGGATAACGTATCACAAAATGTGAAGACTTGTTGATGACATCGCCTTATTTGAAGTGCAGAATACAAAACATTGATGATTGCTTAGTAATGATATTTTTAAGGACGCACTAATCCGTGAAAGTTCTTTGTGAATGTTCTTTGTGAATCTTATTCATGCATGTTCTTCACTACTTCGTCTCCTGTGTAATCGCGTTCTTACGTCACAAAATGGCGGCTGTATGTCAGTATCATCGTTTTCTTGATAATTATTTTCAACCTGTGTTACTTTATATGTTATACTGTCACAATATTTCTTTACATCACTAGCTTAATTAAGTGAAATTGCTTCGAATTGAATTATAATTATGGATATCTGAATTGTTGTTTTAACTATTCTTCACAGAGACCATGTTGGCGCTGACCAGTGTCCATCCTTGTTTACACCCTTACCCTAACCCATCCGTGCCTGCGGCCGTCGAGATTCCAGTCAGGCAAACTTTACATCATGGCTTCCGTCCTCAGGGCTCCGTGCCCGCGCAGTACACTTCGGGTCACTGCTCCGGCCTGGCTCGGATCCCGTCGCACCTCCAAGGCAAGAGCACAACACAGGATTACCCATACCATTCCAGCCAAGGCGTCTCCAATTTTATGACGCGCTACGCCCTGACCCCAATGTCACGCCCACTGGTCGGCCACCGGCAGACGTTGGTCAGGGTCGCACACATCCAACACATCCCCCACGGGGTTGGCCACTCATCAGATCGCAGTGATTTCGTTTACCACGCGGGGCACGCCTCTCAAGTCCACGCAAGTCTGCCTCCATTTTCAATGTTTAGTTCATCTCTAGCCAAAGAAACCAGCCGCGCACTCATGCAATGCAAAAAACCTGGTTTTGAAGCCTCCACCGCTGCCGCTGCCCAGAGACTCAGTCGAATTCCCCAGAAAGGAGGAGGTCACTCTAGTTTTGTTGACTTTTCGAAATCACCAAAGCAGACAAAGTCTAATAAAAAGGGACGTAAGAAAAGGTATCAGAAGCGTGACGTTGGATTTTGTGAGATGCCGATCGGCGTGCAAAATAACGACCTTAGCCACAGCATAGCGTCTATTCTTAGCGAGGGATCGGATATTCCCGTTCATCAAAATAGCACAATCAACAAACAGTCTTTTCCACATCGTGACGGAAGCGCGAAGCATCGAAACATGAGCTCGGACGCGTATGACAGTGACGCTCAAAGCGATGTCGACGTGACGTCATGCAGCAGCGATGAACTCGAATTCGAGAGCAAAGCGAGTGAAAATGTTGAAGAGAATGCACATTTCGAAATGCAGCTGAACGATGATGCAGATAAAGGTAACCTCACTCCCGTTGAAGGTTCTAAATCGCAAAAACAACAAACAGGCGAATGTTTCACTAAAAATGCACAACTTTATTCCACTACACCTGGTCAAGATCTTAAGGTTTACTTGCAAAAGTCGCCGTCACAGGACCAACAGGCAGTCGCATCTCAAAATTTGGTGAAAGAGGAAGTAGACTGTGACATTTTACTTGGGGCAGGAGACGATGGGGGATCGCCCGACAATATTCACATTGCAAGTCGGTCATCTGCCATCTGCAACACCGAGACGTCGGGGCCAGTGCCAGCATTTTGTCATCACGCGGATGCCCGAACTGACATTCAGGAGCGCAGTGCTTTTAAGCCCATAACTAAACATGGTCCGGATTCGCCTTTGATGTGTGGCTCGTTCCCTCAAAAACAGGTCGTCTACGGCGGACGTGCCACGTGTCCTTGCGTGACGTGTGCCAACATAACATTGAGCAATGGTCAGACTGACCGCAGAAACTGTCATGAAATTAAACTCAAGGAACGTGTCATTGAAGTTGATTTTGACGAAGGGTCCTCAACACAAGAAAAAGTGTCCCCGGCTGACGCCATCAGCATGTTAAGACACAAAAGTTGTATTTATCAACACAAGGTCGTCATTGATCAAAGGCAGGATGCAGGGCCGGCCCCCCTCACCGAATCGCTCGGGGCGTGGTTCGACTGGCTGCGCAACAAGGATACAACCTCCCAGACATCGAGTTTGTCCCATTTGGAAGCCCTCTCGTCTCGGATGCCCCCTCCCCCGAGGTACTTTTGTGAGGCGTGCAATAAATCCTATTCCACCATTGGAGGCCTCTCCAAACACCGCCAGTTTCATTGCTCGGAGCACGTGAGGAAAGAGTTCGCCTGCAAGGTGTGCAACAAATCGTATTCTTCTTTGGGGGCTCTCAAAATGCACATCAGGACCCACACGCTGCCTTGCAAGTGCCAGGTGTGCGGCAAGGCGTTCTCACGGCCCTGGTTGCTGCAGGGGCACGTCAGGACCCACACGGGCGAGAAGCCGTTCAGGTGCAGCCACTGCGGTCGGGCGTTTGCCGACAGGTCAAACCTGAGGGCCCACCTCCAGACTCATGCGGATGTTAAGAAGTACGCTTGCAAAACTTGTGGGAAGACATTCTCGCGGATGTCATTGCTCAGCAAACATTCTGAAGGAAGCTGTCCTGGAAATAGCAAGGTATAGCCACTTGTTACGACAAGAATCTCTTAACAAACATTCTGAAGGAAGCTGTCCTGGAAATAGCAAGGTATAGCCACTTGTTACGACAAGAATCTCTTAACAAACATTTTGAAGGAAGCTGTCCTGGAAATAGCAAGGTATAGCCACTTGTTACGACAAGAATCTCTTAACAAACATTCTGAAAGAAGCTGTCCTGGAAATAGCAAGGTATAGCCACTTGTTACGGCAAGAATCTCTTAACAAACATTCTGAAGGGAGCTGTCCAGGAAATAGCAAGGTATAGCCACTTGTTACGGCAAGAATCTCTTAACAAACATTCTGAAGGAAGCTGTCCAGGAAATAGCAAGGTATAGCCACTTGTTACGGCAAGAATCTCTTAACAAACATTCTGAAGGAAGCTGTCCTGGAAATAGCAAGGTATAGCCACTTGTTACGGCAAGAATCTCTTAACAAACATTCTGAAGGAAGCTGTCCTGGAAATAGCAAGGTATAGCCACTTGTTACGACAAGAATCTCTTAACAAACATTCTGAAGGAAGCTGTCCAGGAAATAGCAATTTATAGCCACTTGTTACGACAAGACTTTCTTAATAAACATTCTGAAGGAAGCTGTCCAGGAAGTAGCAAGGTATAGCCACTTGTTACGACAAGAATTTCTAAGCACACATTCTGACGGCATTTGTCCATGAAGTACTAAGGTATAGCGACTTGTTACATCCACCATGTCATTTCTAAGCACACATTCTGACGGCATTTGTCCAAGGAATAGCAAGACTTGCCACAGTGTATGTTGATACGATCATGCCATTGTTCAACAGTTTGAAAGGAGCTTTCCGGGAAAACACAATCCTTAGCGACATGTTAATACCATAAAAAATTCCTATTTTATGCAAGTTTTAAATAGTAATTGTTAAATACGTTTGCTAAGAAATAATAATATTATAATCAAATTAATTGATGATTTTTCACAGAGCTTAAAACAACAAACTAATAACAGGTGAAAGTTGGGTGCTTTCAAAGCTATGGAAGATTTTCTACATTCTTTGCTGGGAACATGAATAAATAATAGATTACAGAAATAAAGATCCGCTTTGATTTATTTTTCAATGTAGACATGTGTGGTTGGAAATATTGTGTGGAAATATACTCTTATTTTTAAAAGTATTTTGAAAGAAATATGTTGTATGAAATATTTTGAGTGTATGTCTGACTCAAAAGGTGTTGCTTACCTGAGCAAACCTAACTGGTCGTTTTTGTTTTCTGTTTATAATCGATAAGATCGCTCTGTATGTTCGATCCCTTCGTATGTTGGTTATCATGTACATATTATCGTTAATGGTTGAAACGGGATGAAAGACTTTGACTGGGTATGCTCGTATGTAGTTTTACATTGTTGCGTCTGTTTTTAATTGTGGTTAATTTTAGATTGTTTTTATTTCTCTTTTTAATATGGTTGACTTTGTACCGCGCTTCGAGCTTTTGGAGATGAAGCGTGTTTTTCAAATAAACTTTATTATTATTATTATTAAAGGCAGAGAGGAGCGTACTAGTCCAGGCAGCTTGTTAACATCTAACCAAGTAACTTCTAAATTCTTATTCATCAGTGGCATAACTGGGGTTAGTGCCACATAGACAGGGGCCGATCCCCTCCCCCCCCCCATTCCCCCACATCCGACGTTTCTTCACGAACAAAAAAAAATATTGTCCCGCCGCAGGGCAGCGATAACCATAGCTGCGGGGTAGCACTGACCATAGCTACGGGGTAGCAATAACCATAGCTAAGGGGTAGTACTAACCATAGCTACGGGGCAGCACTAACCATAGCTACGGGGCAGCACTAACCATAGCTAAGGGGCAGCACTAACCATAGCTACAGGGCAGCACTAACCATAGCTACGGGACAGCACTAACCATAGCTACGAGACAGCACTAACAATAGCTACGGGACAGCACTAACCATAGCTACGGGTTGATCTACGAGAAGGTGGTTTACTACTTACAGTAGATGATAGAGTCACTCATGTAGTAATTCCTACTACAGCCATCTCATCTTAAAATTCATATTTCTATCTGTTGGGACAGATTTTGAGATCTTATTAGACAGCATATTCCTTAAGCTTTTTTTTAAAAAAACCTTTTTTGGTGACACTGAGTCCATCGATTTCTTTGGACTTAAAAATAAAATTAAACAACGCCTAAGAAACAAAGTTTTACGTGAATATTTTGTTTGTCTTTCTGTGATTGTATGCGATTTATCATTTATGTGATTGTACGTGATTTATCATTTATGTGATTGTGCGTGATTGATCATTTATGTGATTGTACGTGATTGATCATTTGATTGTGCATTTGTACGTGATTTATCATTTATGTGATTGTACGTGATTTATCATTTGATTGTGCATTTGTACGTGATTTATCATTTACGTAATTGTACGTGTTTTATTATGTATTTGATTGTAACAACTGATTTTTGGTATGGGAATACTTTTGATCAAACACAGTGCATGTAAACCTAATAAACTCAAGATATATTTAAACCTAAATACGTCACAAACATAAAGCACATAGCAAGAGCTACACAATTAATCTCCACACCAAAACACGCACCCATTGAACAAATCATATTTCATTCATTTTCCCCTTGAAAATACAGGAACAGCGGATTTTTGTGGGTTGGTGATGGCGACGGGGCTGAAAATTTGATAAATATGTCTTCATCGGCAACGAGTCTATGTAGAGGTGTAGCGAGGGTGTTTGGCGCCCCGGGGACAAGATTCGCGTCCGGGGACAAGATCCATTTTAAAGCCCACCCCCCTTTTTATTTTTTTCAACTCTCAAACCCACTATTTTTACCAATAATATAAAATCAAAGCACATTTTTGCGCCCCTAACTAGCTTGCGCCCGGGGACATCTTCCCGCCCACCCTCGCTACGCCTCTGAGTCTATGTGCCAAGTTTCAGCTCGATAGAATGACGAGAAGTGGGTCAGTTAGCCTTCCGGAGATTTTTCCGCCACATAGAAACACACAAAAGCGATTTTAATATAAATGATTTAATAAGCAAAAGGTTTCATAAAGTGTAACATAATGATATTTGATGTCCATTTACTGTTAAGTAGAAAGCAGCCCTTCGTGTCAGTGTAGTGATACATCTCATTATAGAGAATGGGGAACTACTTCAGCGGCCATATTGTAAGGTTACAATAAAGGTACTAGCTTTAGCAATCTTTGAAATAAATCACCCGATTCATTAAAAAAAAAAAATTTTTATAACTTAGAATAAAACTAATGACTGAAATCAGCCAACCTTGACACTTAGGGTTCAGAGTTCAGGTCATCATGTTGCAGTCGTCAAAGCACAAACTAAGAATGGCTCGATGCAGGTCACTCGCAGTGTTTCAATAAACGGATATAATGAAATACCATCAAGAATTTTGGAACACTGTCTAATTGCATCGGCCCCACCATCGCCTTTGCTTCTGCTGTGGTCTGACCCAGACAAGATGGCCACACGCAACCCCCTCATCACCAACAAGTCCCACGACACCCCTGCAACACCCATCTCTCCATCACAAACAAACAAGCGGCCCGCGGAACGTGATGTCTCGTATTGGAAGATCGTCTTTTAATGGCGCGCTCTCGCCCCCACAACGAGGCTTTGTTTATTGTGACAACGGGCGCCACGATATAAATACGTCCAGCAGGTTCTGAGCTGAATGAGTCTATCACTTTACACAGCAATGTAGGGGATCTGAACCAGGTGTTGAATGCAAGTCGAATTGCTGGTGAGAAGAACTATGCCATGTAATGCCACAGTGAGCCAAGATGTACAACAGGGCATGGGATGGAATTGAAACGTTACCAAAAGGGAAAATGAGTGTTGGATCAGCGTTTCACAAACTTTTAAGTTTGGCGGACCGGTGGACACGTTTAGAAACTGTCACAGAGACCGGTGGACACGTTTTGAAACTGTCACAGAGACCGGTGGACGCGTTTAGAAACTGTCACAGAGACCGGTGGACACGTTTTGAAACTGTCACAGAGACCGGTGGACACGTTTAGAAACTGTCACAGAGACCGGTGGACACGTTTAGAAACTGTCACAGAGACCGGTGGACACGTTTAGAAACTGTCACAGAGACCGGTGGACACGTTTTGAAACAGTCACAGAGACCGGTGGACACGTTTAGAAGCTGTCACAGAGACCAGTGGAAACGATTAGAAACTGTCACAAGAGACCGGTGGACGCGTTTGGAAACTGTCACAGAGACCGGTGGACACGTTTTGAAACTGTCAGAGAGACCGGTGGACACGTTTAGAAACTGTCACAGAGACCGGTGGACACGTTTAGAAACTGTCACAGAGACCGGTGGACACGTTTAGAAACTGTCACAGAGACCGGTGGACACGTTTTGAAACTGCCACAGAGACCGGTGGACACGTTTAGAAGCTGTCACAGAGACCAGTGGAAACGATTAGAAACTGTCACAGAGACCGGTGGACACGTTTAGAAACAGTCACAGAGACCGGTGGACTCGTATTGAAAACTTGCATTAAAGTTTGGCGGATCGGTGGACTCGTCTTGAAACTAGCATCAAAGACTTGCGCCAGATTTATTCATTACAGTTTTATTTTATTTGACCATTAATATTCATGTTGTGCGGACCGGCAACATTAGGCTCGCGGACCGGAAACCTTAGGCTCGCGGACCGGCAACGTTAGGCTCGTGGACCGGCAAAGTTAGGCTCGCGGACCGGCAACGTTAGGCTCGCGGACCGGCAACTTTAGGCTCGTGGACCTGCAACGTTAGGTTTGCGGACCGGCGCACCACTTGAGAAACACTGATTTAGATGACCATCAACTATGTCCCGTTATTATGTGTTCACAAATACAATAGAGCAGAATTTCTGGACAGAAACTAACAGATATGTTCGTAATGGCCAAGTTTATTTCCAATGAATATGTCAACAAACCGAAAAATCAAAGATATAAATAATATAAA